CGATGGTTTGCAGCTTTATCGCTCAACTTGCCGGCAGTGGCACGTCTATTTGAATAAGCAACACCTTTTGCGAGACCACTCGGCTGATGGGCATCTCAATATTGGTGAGTTCTCACTTTTGTACGCGTATCGCAGATTCGCTTCCGCGACAAAGAGTTCAGAATATCAATTTTGCTAGCAGCCGAGCTTTCGCATACGGTAATGACAAGGATCCATTGCTTTCAGTTGATATTACTCACCACGAAAGTCTTTGTAGTTTGACAAAGACGACGCGTAACGTTGTGAACAGGTCGATAATCGCACTTCTTGACGGCCTGAGAAACCTGAGAGTCCACCAGATATGCATCGGAGCGATGGATGATCAATCGCAAATCCTGGCAAGCGCAGAATCGAGCTGGTCATCTGCGATTCAAGTCTCTGTTTGTTGCATCATCCTAAAGTCGTGCTCCGTTGGCGAGAAACAGTCCATGCGTTTACTTTTGGGTCGTGTTCCTAGCGCATGGATGTAGAGACGGCGATCTTGCCGGCTACTTACATCTTGAATACCCTCATGCGTCTTGTGAACTAGACTGTGTGAACTGGCTAGGACTTGTGCCAAGGACTTGATGATGTGATCTCCCAAAGACGCGACCCAAGGCGAAGAAAGAAGGTCAAGCTCGCATGCAGCTTCAGTGATGACACTGTCACGGACAGGTGGAACGTCTATAGCATTCTGAATGGCCATTTGCCATAGAGGAATTTTTTGGACGATAGAACGACCAGCTCGGTACTGGGTATCGATCGAGGTGTCACAGGGTGTTCCGGCTGCCTCGGGTTCCTTGGGTACGTGAAGGTGTTGGAACTTGGAGGCAATGTCTTTTTGAAGAAGAAGCCGATTTGAGGTAATAGGCCAAGACAGAATAACGTGGGTTTATACCGTCGTAATGGATGTGTTAATCTTTCGCCGACCTACGCGTTTTGTGACGAATTTGACTGCACAGGTTTCAGTACAGAGGTAACGTCGTTTCGACTATTGCGCTTGTACACTGGTAAGGCGACCTTGCTCTTCGGATGAGGTTTGGCAGTGTGCCTTGCACGTATGTGCGCCCCTCCACTCAAGGCGGTTAACAAGGGGTAGTGAGAAGGGGTCCACAAGCTGTAAAAAAATAGCTAGCATATATCACGTAAAGAGTACAAATCTAGTCAGTGGGCAAACTTAAGCATTCCGTCCTTTTAACCCTAACAGCAGTTGGCATCTTGAAGCTTTCGCCCTACGTTACACGTCTATTAACACTGTGATCAGAACGAGGGTTTGGGTTTGGTTGTCAATCGGTTGACGGGAAGCAAGCTGCGAGGCTGTGGACCGCCAAGACTGAGGATCGCCAGGGGGGGGGGGGGGTTCGATGGATGCTTCTCAATTGCCTGAAGCTTGCGTAAAAGCCGGCAATATTAACCAAGCACATGAAGATAATTGATACTGCCTTGTAAGATGTATGGAATTTCGGTGTGGGCGTGTTTGTGATTGCATTCTGATAAGCGACATCATTCCTCATCTCGTCATCAGGGCCGCCGATCGCTTAGTACAAGAGTCAATATAATGGTATGTTATTGCTGCGCATGGAGATAGAAGGAAGAGGGAGCGGATAAAGCGCACGATTCCTCCAGACGTCAACTGGTATTCGAGTAGGAGATCTACCTGTTATGCCAACTACTCAGAATCCAACACATCTACTATCTGAGCCGAATATTTGCGCTCCGTCATTACGCTTAACCAACACGGGCTGGTACTTCATTGCTCTCGTACTATAATTGAGGCGACGGCTCGCTGACCCAGAATGTATCCCTACATTGCCGCAACCTTTCATAACCTCTGTTCCTGACAGCCGACGAGTTGGACCCGCGACAACCGGCCGCGAATCAGCGGCATGTCCCAGTTGCTGGCGACCTCGTTCACGCAAATTTCTTCTCTCATCAAGATACCTACGTCATCACTTGCGTAGACAGAAGCAATCGGGATGGATCATGTTCACATTTACACTTCCCTCTTCCCGTCCTCCTGGCATATGTCCTGCAACACTGCCTGGCTGCCGCAACCGAGAACGTACTGTCTTTCCGTCCGCGTGCGGGCAGCGAGTGGTTGGCCACCTCAGGAGGGAGGAGGAAGATATAAAACCAAGTAGGTAGATGCTTGACGGAGAGCAAATCCTACATTTGGGTGACCCAAAAAGCGCGCCATGCCAAAGGGGTACCATGGACATTTCTACAGCTCCCATGTCTTGGGTAGCCACTGTAGGCTGGAGGTATTCCGATCAGGAGAGGTCTGCTCACATGGGTTGCGCCGGGCGCAGGTTGAGCGGATGTAGCCAATCTCATCCCCACCACGCTCGTGAATTTTCAATGTCCGGTACTAGCCGCTGTTTTCCCAGTCTGCTCCAGCCTTTGCCAAGAACGGCATCATGTTACTGGGTCAGGTAGCAATACCGACATGGTGCATTACCAGGGTGGCGGTGCCACCGCCCGAGCGAGCCCAAGGTACGCGATAATGGCATCCCACGTATTAGGAAGCACCCCTTCGCAAGGGCCGTATGTAGGTCTCACAAGAACGGCGGTCGGGGGTTGCATGGTCGTCATTTCTCATGCCGACGACGAAGGCGACGCTCTTAGTGAGTCCCAGGACGAACCGGAAGGAGGAATGAACATTGATGGCTCCCATGCTTGTCACCACCTCTATCGTAAGAAGTATCTCCTCTGCTTCCTCTTCTTCCTCTCGGAGTGCAGAAGTTGTGTGCCATGGGGAGCGGGGAGCATGAAACCAGCAACACTGAAAGCGATGAGGTGTGTGCCGTATTTCGGCTTGACTTGTTCGTTGACTCATGGTGGTTGAAGGGCTTTCAAGACCCTCCTTCTGACTTCGTTCAACTCAGCCTCGACACTCTCGCGCACCTGTTTCGCCATGCGATCCTCGAATGATTCGCGCTCCTTGTCTTCAAGCTCCTCTCTGCACTCCTCTAACCATGTTTTCTTGAGGTCCTCCATCTCATCACACACGTCTGGCACTTGCTTCTCGAGATTATCGCACCTAGCTTGGAGTTCATCAAGCGTGATGTCAAGATTGCCGACCGTCTCGACATTTTCAGATTGACCCTCTTCCAATTCACAAAGTCTTTTCTCCAGCTCATCACACCGCGCTTCGAGCGCCTCGTTACGTTTCTGCGATTTCCTGAACATCTGTTGTAGATCATGGATGTGTTGTTGCTGCTGCTCCAGCGCACGCATCAGTGGGCTGCCCCGATCGGCTAGGAGCGGGTATTGCAATTGGCCTGGTCGAGGTGCGTCTATCATGGAAGTCTTTGTGGTGCATACGGTGGTTGGCGAACGTTTTCTTTTGATGCCTGGTGTGTATATATCTGCATTCCCCAAGGGGAAGACGTCAAGGGACGATTCCAGCGCATTCTTCTCCCGTCCGGTATCACCATATTCCGGCGGGTCGCGTTCGCAGTCGTGTTTGGACTTTTCGGCGACTGTGGCTGCAGGGCCTGGCCGGGTCTCCGGCGACTGTCCCTCGCTCGAGCACTCATCATATGGCGGGGGGAGACCTCGATCAGGTGGCACATCGTCGAAGGGAACGGTGCTACCGCCGTACGATGCGGGCGTGGTCGGATCAGGTGAGCTGCAATGTGCCTCGGTAGGAGGATAAGAACCACGAAGACTGCGGGATGTGTGCACCTTGCCGCCAGCGCCATGGTACAGCCTACGTACATCCACCATACACTCATATGCAAGCTTGTCATTTTCCGGCAAAGATGGAAAGTCTTGAATAGCCCTCTTGTATTTCAGAAACGTCTTCCGCCGTAGGATGTCGTGCCGAAAGAACACGGAAAACCGCGAGGCAGTCGCAAGGGATTTGAGTGATGCTCGTGTATCCAAGACGGGTTCGCCGCCAGTTGTGTTTCCGCTATCGGAATTAATGGGTGTGACTAGATCGATACGACCATCCTTGTGCAGGTGGAATTGCATACGGGCTACCGATTGCATGCCGTTGAGTCGCGAGCGGACAGTTTCGAGGTAAGGTGGGCTTGGGCCGCTCGTGTTGGCTTTGTCATAGAGCATCTTCTCAAGTGACTCGATGCAGTCTGCTCTGATCTGTAACCAAGATGTGGTTTTTGTTGACATGCCGTCGGGGACTACAAGCAGACGGAAAGAGACGAGACCGGGGGAGGCATATCGGATGCGCAGTCGGAAACTCTGCTCGATCACTTCAGGCGATTGTCCCTCATCTTCCCGCACCGCAATGACGTTGGGGGCCTCGAAATCACAATCATCCAAGTCGCAGGGTAGCATGGCGAAATCGATGTCGGCTGTTCCTGTAGCTTTAGACATGGAGGGGCGTAGCCCGACAGCACGCAAGGGAGAGAGACAGTGAGCCCGGTACTTACGGTTGCGCTATTATCGCGCTTCTTTGCCCTTGGCAGCAAGTCCGTCGCGCGGTCCTAATGGAGAAGACGCATCCGGTCACGATCGCGACCCTGCTCAAAGTGCATGAGTAGCTATTGTACGAACAGTAGATTGACCGGGGCGTCTAGTCACGAACTCGAGGCGTGACTCTGCGGGTGCAAGCTACGCTTCGAATTGGTTCTGACGGGAACCCAGTCCTCCTCGCACAATGAGCCACGCCAGCAAGTGAACGGTCGGAACGAACAGGATAGGTCTCTCCGTTAGGATTGCGCAAAAGAAATGCTAGCGGGAGGAAGAGGAGGCGGCGCTGGGGATGGATCTGATGTTGGAGGGCCACAGGTTGTAGGGGACAAGGTAAGGTGATGATGGATGTCGTGAATGACAGAACGGGAGTTGCCGGTGGGACTCGGTTCGTGCAAATGGCGCGAGATCACGTGGTATGCTGCTCGATCTTAGGCATGTGCTTAGGTAAGGAGAAGTCTATGCCCCACCTGTCGCCTTACCCCGTACGCTTGTGCAGCCACATATGCTTCTTAGTTACATAACCACATCTCAACAAGGCGATTATGCAGGTAACGCATTTCGGACGCCTCATTCACCTTCTGCACAGCTTCACAATTCGACAAGTCAAACACAGCTGTGTCGTTCGCGGCATCGATAGCGAAACCAATGACGTGCAGGCATACATCGGGAAACACACAATCACTAGCTCGGCATCCTCCTCACCGCAGTCTGGTCGATCCTCCGAAAGTGGACTGGCCATCTACGCAGACTGCAGCAATGCCATAGTCGTTGCGACCGCCTTTGCCGCCCTCTCCAACGCCGAGCTCCATCACACCGTTCCAACAGACTCGCGTGGCAGCTTGACAGATTGCAGGATCCATGCGGGTGTAGCAGAAGCGAGTAGCGGCGGTTCAGACTACGACGATGGCTCTCACGTATTAGCAAGCGATCAAGGTGGCTGTAAGGTCGTCCTGACAAGAGGCCGACTGCAATATGTGATTGTCCATTCGCGCGATGCATTGCTAATCTAATGGTTTTCCCAAAGTCAGATCAAGAAGACTACCACGAAGTCGTGTTTCTGATTACAACGGGCAGCGCAAGGGCAATGCGGGACCAACGGCGCGCTATCCTATCCTATCCTCCAAAGAGGCACAGTCAGCAACGCATCCAGCACAGCAGACCGCCGTAATGGTCCTTCCACCCTACGAGAATGTTGAACAGCCAGAGAGCAATTGCGGCTGCGCAACGTGGCAGCAGAGGTGGGCGAGTTCTGCGACATTCGGTCTGGGCTGGCCGTACGGGTTCTAAGGGCGGCTTTCATGGACCTCAAAGTTCGAAACACTGGCTGGTAGACCGCGGACGCTCTTTATCGAATCATTTCGAAAGGCACCAATGCGTGTCCGCCTCAGTGTCGTCTGCATCCATCGATTGCTAGCTTGTTGCGGAGATTCTGGATTTGACGAGCGATCTGCCCTGGCTGATGCTTCCGAATACCGCCGGAGCTCTCGAATGCAAATGTGGTCGCAGAGCCGGGGTTGCGCGCACACATGTGGGCTCAAAACAGACAAGACCTTTCGACTCCAGCCATGCCCTGCCTCTGATGAAAGCCAGGTTACAGGCAACTCCTCTGCTCCGCCGCTTTACTGGCGCTTCCTCTTCCACTTCAAAATCATCGACTTTTTCTATCTCGCTCGCGTTAGGTGCAGCTCCTTCTCCGGTTTGTCTTTGGCCGCGTCCGCTGTCCTGCCTGCTAATGTTCGAACGCGAGCCCATACTTCGCCATCGCCTCGTTCGTTCGAGCTGTTCATTGGTGGACCACTGAGACATCATGGAGAAACCAGGATCGCAGAGTCGCTCACATCTTGACCGCTGGCCCATCGTCAGGGAATGCAATCTTCTATCCTTTCGCCTCTCAAAAAAAGCCAGAGGTTCCACCCATCAGCTTCTTCCACATTGGACATCGCCATTAGCACCACCTCGTGGCGCACACTGGCGGCTTCATAATCAATCGACTCGGGCTATACCTCACACCATTTGGCGAGACCATACCATGATGTTGCAGAATAGCTTGTGGCAAAGATGTTTGGCGTATCAATGATTTGCAAGTCTTTCCTGCCTGATCTTTGGTCTCCCTGCTGCGGCTACTCGTCGCAGGGTAGATGAAGATTTCCTTCCGGTCTACTTCCAAAAGCAATCGAAATTCTTGATCTCAAAGAGAGGACATGGAGTCCGCCAGCACTTTTGGCACATAAAACGGCTAGCGCTCATCCCCGCAACCTCATTTAGAGTTGAGATGGAGACTATGGTGGCTAGGATCCTTCTCCAGACTACACCACTCTCTCCTCCAAGGTGTTTTACTTACACCAACGGTATGTCGCAGCTCAAGGGAGTAGACACCCACCCAAGACATTCGTCTCCTCTCACCCGCCACCGTTGTGGCAACCACATTTGTATCTCCGACGCCTGAAATCGTGCAATCCTCTGGTAAAACTGCCTTTCTTACCACAGCTTCAAGAAACCTCCCGGTGAAAGAAGCATCTACCGCCTGCTCTCGCGAGAAACTGGCTACTGGCATTGGGCTAGTCTCTGGTCCCTCCTTTTTGCTCCCGATGTCATCGCATCACCATAGCCGCAAGATTACATCTGCAAATGGACAAGGCTGTGTCAAAGGTGGATCTGACGAGGCTGTGCTTCACGAAGACGATTGCTGTGAGACTGCGGCCTTGCGCCAGGCGTACCATAATGGTTGCAGGAAGATCATCACCGACACGGCTTTCCAGGGGAACCCGAAGATTATGAGGTGTACTCTTGCTCCACGTCGCCCGATGACAACGTGTTTGTGACCGCTGGTGGAGTTATCTGATCATACGACTGGCGGAGAGCCCGCTCCGCCAAACTTGACATCCCGGATGCTGGCGTCAGCGGCGTAAGCCCTGCGACGCCAATGGAAGTTCAAAGCCATTTCGTGAATTGCAATCTCGACGGATAATGATGACCGCTTGTAACGTTTGTCAGTGTACTTGTCGAATGCTGCAACTTGAACATTCGAGTATTGTCCACTTTCTTTTCCAGCTTGTCAACTACCTATGGCAAATCAACATTGCCTATAGTAATAGCTCGTTGATCTCCCTCTGACGCTGGATGACCCATCTCGATGCGCCCGAAATTCTCGAAAAGAGGACGCCTACCCCACGCTGCATAATCGAATATTGGAACCTATCACGCCTGTCCTATCACGCCTGTTTCTTATCCCTCCTTAACTGCCTTGGGACAGGAGTCACTCGGAATCAAAAGGTCATACCCCATCATATATCGTCCTCGTCGTCATTGCTGTCGGATTGCATCTTCTGTTCAGACGTTGAGTTTCGCGTTCCCGGGGTAGCCACTTTTCCAACCAACCAGAGCTCGGCTGGCCGATGCACGGGCTACCTTCCAGAATACCAGCCTCGTCAGCCTCGCCAAGCCCCATGTGGCTAGTGCGGCGAGCAGGTGCGGCCGGTGGTCCGTGTCCAGGCGCAAGATGTGGAACTTTCGAGATTGTGGCTGCGGACTCTCATTGGGCAGAGAAGCGGACTCTGCCCTCGACTCGTTGACACAGGATGCGGGCAGCCCTGAAAGCGATGAATAAAGTTCACTTGAGCCTTTGCAGGGAAGGGGACGAAGAGGAGGATTTAATCACCCGCCCACGCCAGTAAAACAGAGAAATGGCCAGAGAGTTAGAGCTAGTAGTTCTTGTCCAGCTTCAATAGCTGTTTCAGTTCGAGGAGGGCGACGCGGGCGCGCAATGTGAAAGTTCCCAGTGCTTAGTAGATGGATGATAGCCAGCGGACTAACAGCTTTCTTATCGTTGGTGAGTCCCTCTACGGTGGCGGGGTTAAAGAGAATTGACGGTTTGAAACCTCTCAAATTGGGCTCCATTTCAGAAGGAGTTTTGCTATCCGGGCAGTACTGTTTGGCTATCCGGGCAGTAATCCACCTTTTGGACCAATAAGGGCTTATAGCTGCAGAGCTCGGGCCACAGCCCCACACCCGTACGAGCTGCACCTGCCCACG